GTGTGTACTTCTACTGAGTAACGGATGTGTGTACTTCTACTTAGTAACGGATGTGTGTACTTCTACTTAGTAACGGATGTGTGTACTTCTACTTAGTAACGGATGTGTGTACTTCTACTGAGTAACGGATGTGTGTACTTCTACTGAGTAACGGATGTGTGTACTTCTACTGAGTAACGGATGTGTGTACTTCTACTGAGTAACGGATGTGTGTACTTCTACTGAGTAACGGATGTGTGTACTTCTACTGAGTAACGGATGTGTGTACTTCTACTTAGTAACGGATGTGTGTACTTCTACTTAGTAACGGATGTGTGTACTTCTACTGAGTAACGGATGTGTGTACTTCTACTTAGTAACGGATGTATGTACTTCTACTGAGTAACGGATGTGTGTACTTCTACTGAGTAACGGATGTGTGTACTTCTACTGAGTAACGGATGTGTGTACTTCTACTTAGTAGCGGATGTGTGTATTTCTACTTAGTAACGGATGTGTGTACTTCTACTGAGTAACGGATGTGTGTACTTCTACTGAGTAACGGATGTGTGTACTCTTGCCCTCTCTGTCTCTGTGCAGTCAGATTAACTCCCGGGACGCCTCGGGTCAGACGCCTCTGCACCGGGCGTGTGAGCGCGGTGACACGGCGTGTGTGACGGAGCTGCTGGAGGAGAGCCAGGCTCGAACCGACATCAAGGACCAGGACGGAGAGACGCCCATGCACTGCGCCGCCAAGCAGGACACACCCGCCATCATCAAGGTGAGGGGTCACTGCCCGGAGGAAACTACGAGAAACCACCAGCAACCACCGAAAAGTGGTTTAAAGGCCACGGATTCATGAGGGAAGTCTAAAAACAGGTTAAATATCCTAATCCTGGGAGTTTGAAAGAGAAGAGGTTTAAAGGCCACAGACACTGGTTCATAAAGCATTGAATGGTTTAGGGCTAAAATACATTTGTGATCTGGAACAAACTCCCTGAAACCTGCAGGTCCGCTGCAACTCTGACTGCTTTCAAATCCAGGCTGGAGACTTTTCTGTTTGCTTTCATTCACATCTCACACGGACTGTAGCTCGTGTTCATGTTGTTATCTTTAATGAGTCTTTTAAATGCCATTTTATGATATGTTTCTGAGGCACTATTTCTTAATGCTTAATGTCTTTCATGTTTGTAAAGCACTTTGAATTGCCTTGTGTTGAAAGGTGCTGTATAATCATTCAACTTGCCTTGCTTTAAAGCTTGAACCACGCTGCGTGTTAACCCTCTCCCCCCCCTCCCTCCCTCAGGTCATGTGCTCTCGGATGTGTTCGGGCGTGAACGAGCTGAATCTCCACGGGGAGACGCCGCTGCACGTTTCCTGTCGCCTCGGCCGAGTCGAGTCCGTCAAAGCTCTGCTGGGGGGCGGAGCCAAGTGTGATGTCATCGGAGGGGTGGGGTACCCCATTCACAGCGCCATGAAGTACAGCGAGAAGGGGTGAGGGTCGGGGTTGGGAAAATAGGACCTAAATGCAGTAAAAAGACAACAAGCGAGCTTTAATCAAAAGCTGATGACAACGAAAAACAAGAAACAACTTAAAGGTTTCTCATCAATATATCACAGGCCTCAGATATATACAGAGCCTGTCTCTGATTGGCTGAAACACCAGATCATTGCAGCATTACCCACAATCCCCTCTGTTTCAGCCCTGTTTCCAAAGTGCTGATTCTCTGTCTGTTACTTTAGATGAAAACAAGGAGCCCCTCTGATGCCCCTTTCACACCGACGTGTTTTCAGCTCCGGTTCAGAGCTGGAGCTGAAAAGTACCGTTTTTTCCTGTTCACACCGCAGCGGCGCCGCCTCTTAGCTCCGGAATCCGGTTCACTTCCAGCTCCAAAAAATTGTCGGTCTAGAGGCAAGAGCTTCGGAGCTAAGAGGCGGCGTCGCTTACGTCGAGGCGTGCAGGAAACTAAACCCACCTCCCCTGAACATGGGTCGACTGAAGAGTCTCCTCATACCTGCCTACAAGCAGTAGTGCTTATAAACACACTTTATAAAGTCAGGCAACACTAACCAG